CTGCTGAGGTTTCACTAGACAAACATTTAGTACCTGAAATAAAGTTAAGTTATTCAAAAACATAAATCTGCAAAATACAAAATAAATCCAAATGGAGCCAGAACAATGCTTACTTTGTTAGTCTAGAGCTGAGGCAAACTAGACTTGAGTTGTTTCGTTGATTAATATATTCTCTAGCATCCGGGACACAGACTAAGATTTCAGTTATTTTTTGCCCTCTGGACACAAAAGGGCTTTGAGAAGTGTTAACTGTTATATTAGAGCTCTATAAATGTGTGTATGTGTGTGTGTGTGTCTGTATGTACGTAACTGCCCCAGTTAATGTCTTTACAATGACCCTTAGGGGTTTGGGATTGTCGTTTAGCCGTACCAACTAGTCTGAGAAAGTCTTATACACCAACAGTTGGGACTGTCGCTGAGCGAGAATACTATAAGGTCGGAGAATGTTCTTGAATATACACCAGTTGGTACTACCCTTAGAGACGTAGCTTATAATTATCACATCGACATGCTTTGCATTTTAGAAACATAGGCAAATCAATAATCCTTTTAAAAACTGCGTAATCATTCAACCTTTTACATACTCGCATACCATCTTAGACTTTCCTTTATAAGTAAAGTGTACTGAAATCAACTGCGACTAATCCTGCGAATTAATTATATAACATCATTAAATCCTCAATAACGTTTCCCTCATTTTCTCCTCACAGGATTAAAGCAATTGGGAAAGTTAGATAAACAGGTACATATATAATGTGCCGCCAAGCTGAGGAAAGTTTCTTGCACCTGCCGTCATTTTTTTCAAGCGGGATATATATAGATGCATTCTATGCCAGAAAGCTGTTTGCAGCAACAAACAATACTTTGATTTCTCAGAAAATATAAGAGATTAAAGTGCCTTAATTTAAATTCCCAGGCCTATTTTTTATGCAATTTGAAATTGCCATGAAGACGTATGGTGTATTGATATTGTTGAGGTTACTTTCTTGTGCACTTTTGAAAGTGAAATTGGATGTCATTGGCATTACTGCTTTGTTCCTTGTGTTTGTTCTTCATAATAGAAATGTCAAGATTGATAGGTATAAACTCTAAGACAAATAGTATAAACAACATAATGACAACAATCGAGGTATGTACATAAGGTTTATTTAAGGTTTGTGATATTCAGTGACTATAAATAGACTCTCCAGTTGAAGCTAACATCTCGCCTAGGAACTTTAAATATAACCTTCGCTTGTTACAGGGTGAGCGTGGGTGAGTTTAGATGTATATAGGTTGAAGTACACAAAAAGTGTGTTGAATGTCTCATGTGTTGACGAAGTACACAATACGTGTGTTGAATGTTTGATGTGTTGTATCCAGGGTAAAAGACGAATAAGTGTGTTGAATGTCTCATGTGTTGACGAAGTACACAAAACGTGTGTTGAATGTTTGATGTGTTGTATCAAGGGTAAAAGACGAATAAGTGTGTTGAATGTCTCATGTGTTGACGAAGTACACAAAACGTGTGTTGAATGTTTGATGTGTTGTATCAAGGGTAAAAGACGAATAAGTGTGTTGAATGTCTCATGTGTTGACGAAGTACACAAAACGTGTGTTGAATGTTTGATGTGTTGTATCAAGGGTAAAAGACGAATAAGTGTGTTGAATGTCTTATGTGTTGACGAAGTACACAATACGTGTGTTGAATGTTTGATGTGTTGTATCCAGGGTAAAAGAGGAAGTGCACAAAAAGTGTGTTGAATGTCTCATGTGTTGACGAAGTACACAATACGTGTGTTGAATGTATGATGTGTTGCATCTAAGTTGAAGATGAAATACACAACACATGAGGTGAATGTCTGACGTGTTCACGAATTACACAGTTCGTGTGTTGAATGTCTGATGTGTTGAGGAAGTACAAAATAGGTGTGTTGAATGTCTGACGTGTTGTATCTAGGTAGAAGACGAAGAGCACAATACGTGTGTTGCATGTCTTACGTGTTGTATAGAGGGTAAAAGAGAAAGTACAACAATAAATGTGCTGAAAGTCTGACGTGTTGTATAGAGGGTAGAAGAGAAAGTACAGCCATTAATGTGCTGAATGTCTGACGTGTTGTATAGAGGGTAAAAGAGAAAGTACAACAATAAATGTGCTGAATGTCTGACGTGTTGTATAGAGGGTCGAAGAGAAAGTACAGCCATTAATGTGTTGAATGTCTGACGTGTTGTATAGAGAGTAGAAGAGAAAGTATTGCCATTAATGTGCTGAATGTCTGACGTGTTGTATAGAGGGTAGAAGAGAAAGTACAGCCATTAATGTGCTGAATGTCTGACGTGTTGTCTTGAGGGTCGAAGAGAAAGTACAGCCATTAATGTGCTGAATGTCTGACGTGTTGTATAGGGTAGAGGAGAAAGTACAACAATAAATGTGTTTGACGTGTTGTATAGGGTAGAGGAGAAAGTACAGCCATTAATGTGCTGAATGTCTGACGTGTTGTATAGAGAGTAGAAGAGAAAGTACAGTAAACTACGGTTATAACGAACTCAAAGGGACTACCAATTTTAGTTCGTTATAACCGTAGTTCGTTATAAGTACATACACAGTATGACTACAGCAAGTAGTCGGGACCACAAAGTCAGTTCGTTATATCCGTCAGTTCGATATACGCGTGTTCGTTATAACAGTAGTTTACTGTAAAGCCATTAATGTGCTGAATGTCTGACGTGTTGCATAGAGGGTCGAAGAGAAAGTACAGCCATTCATGTGCTGAATGTCTGACGTGTTGTCTTGAGGGTCGAAGAGAAAGTATAGCCATTAATGTGTTGAATGTCTGACGTGTTGTCTTGAGGGTCGAAGAGAAAGTATAGCCATTAATGTGCTGAATGTCTGACGTGTTGTATAGGGTAGAGGAGAAAGTACAACAATAAATGTGTCTGACGTGTTGTATAGGGTAGAGGAGAAAGTACAGCCATTAATGTGCTGAATGTCTGACGTGTTGTATAGAGAGTAGAAGAGAAAGTACAGTAAACTACGGTTATAACGAACTCAAAGGGACTACTAATTTTAGTTCGTTATAACCGTAGTTCGTTATAAGTACATACACAGCATGACTACAGCAAGTAGTCGGGACCACAAAGTCAGTTCGTTATATCCGTCAGTTCGATATACGCGTGTTCGTTATAACAGTAGTTTACTGTACAGCCATTAATGTGTTGAATGTCTGACGTGTTGCATAGAGGGTCGAAGAGAAAGTACAGCCATTAATGTGCTGAATGTCTGACGTGTTGTCTTGAGGGTCGAAGAGAAAGTACAGCCATTCATGTGCTGAATGTCTGACGTGTTGTTTAGGGTAGAGGAGAAAGTATAGCCATTAATGTGTTGAATGTCTGACGTGTTGTCTTGAGGGTCGAAGAGAAAGTACAGCCATTAATGTGCTGAATGTCTGACGTGTTGTATAGGGTAGAGGAGAAAGTACAACAATAAATGTGTCTGACGTGTTGTATAGGGTAGAGGAGAAAGCACAGCCATTAATGTGTTGAATGTCTGACGTGTTGTATAGGGTAGAGGAGAAAGTATTAAACAAGTGTGCTGAAAGTCTGATATAGTGTGTCTAGGGTTGGTGTGCATTGTGTCTTTAAGTGATAAACAAGTATATACCACCGTCTTATCTCCCAAACAAATAAGTTGAAAGATCGCCCATTCCAGATAGGTTCCCACGTGTTTGAGATCAAGACCAGTAGCTTTGTGTTGAAACGGTAATGTTCACGCATTCTGAAACTATCCAAGGATTTTAGCATTGTGTAAGAGCTTCTCAAGATAGGAGACGTTATACATGCAATATATATGACGATAAGTGTAGGTCCTATCGATTTCTGCTGCCTGGTTCATATATACCCATAGTAAAATTATTATTAGCGTAACGTAGATTTTCAGGGAATTATCACTCCTTCGTCTGGCAGCTAACGGCAGACCTCGGGCTTCTTCAAATGATAATGCCTTGAAAAATAAGGTTGCCATTATCTCCATAGCTAAGAAGGAGAGAATTTGTAGCTAGTCCCTGAATGAAAAAAACAACTAACAGCGGCCTAAGTTTAGTGGCTGTATGAAAACCTCATGAAAGAGGTCAATGATTTTCAAATAGTAATGTCTTAGAACATAACATAGGATGACGTCTCAATAGTCCGGTAATTAAAGGTTTATTTTCCATGAAGGTTCAACAAAATTGACGGTAAAGGTTTTTTAACACATTTCACTGCCTTGATAGGTCTACTTTAAAAAAGAAAATAGTTTACCAAAATTTGACTTGTGGAAACACACAAAATAGGTCAAATCCAAGATGGCCGCCATCAATACAAACGAAAATCGAAAAAAAAGAAAAAAAGAATCAATCAAAATCTAAACATGGATGATGATTCTATTTATAATCAACTTCATAGGATCAAGACAGGGGAATATATATTTAACAATTTCGAAGTGAAATCTTACACAGAAATAAATTACGGCCGCCCGAAAAGTGAAAAAAAATGCAATTGTTCCATATCGGACTACAAAATACTTAACACAGGCTTATAAAGAGGGAATAACCCTGCAATACTGCAGTTCACAAGTCAAACTTACTATCAATTTAAATGTCTAAAGTTCAAGACAGTCTTTATGTTCACACTCATACACTGGACATGAAGAGACGATTATTCAGTAACATCCCTTTGCATTGTCCACATGCTGAGGTACATTGTAGACAAAAGACATGCATGAGCATGTGTTTTCATCACACTTTCCAGTGCAATTGTATCTGATTATTTTAAACAGGAATTTAGGAGTGACAGCTTGGTGCCTTGTGATTGGTTTCAATAAAGTGCCCTTGTTGCTCTTGTGAAGCGTCCAGCCCCATTCTGTATTGTTGCCTAGCCAGGTCTGCACTTGGAGTCAGACTCGTTTGCTGGGTAATCTGGCAGCGGTGCAATCTGATGTCGGTGGAAGGTGTCGAAGGAGTAGGTAATTTGAGCTTGATACATACCTTCTCAGTGAATTTTGTCGCACGTTCAGAATTCAAATCCAAGCCAGGCATACAGCCGTAGAGGATTGCAAGCGCCTGATTACCAGCCTGCTCGATTTCTGCATGGTTTCCACCTGTCACCATGAAAACCTTTGAATATTCCTGAGACCATCCCTATGCCATATGGCCTCGATGTTGTGTCACTCCCTGGCAGTGCATGTACAAAGAGCAAAGAATGGCTGAGATTAGGATCAAGGATCATCTGTAGGATGAAGATGTCAATAATCTTTGTACTTGTCTGAAGATAGATGGCTTCATGGTATCGGGTCTGAAGTGATATTGCAACAGGATGAGAAGGTCGGTATCATTCCCTACCACTACCATAGGCTGTGTTTGAGCCAATGTACAGGCAGACATTGCAATGTCATAGTCAGCATCTCCGAATGAGTGACCCCAACAGAGTGATGAATTTCTGTTTGTTTCTTTCATTTGCCAAAAGGGATTCTTCATTTTCAGAATCATGTCTGGTGTGAAATCCACATCCACTCCAATCTCACTTCCAGTTCTTCTCTGATGGGTCACATCCTTGGTCGAAAAACACCACAATAACCATCAAACACGATAAGAGCATTGCAGAAGTGCCACTGATTTGCCGGACAACATCTGACCTGTACTACCCTCTGAATATACTTGAGTGATGATCTCCTTTCAGATCAGATTCCCAACTGTACCAACAAAACTCATCTCAGTATGGAATCCCCCCAAGACCAGGGCTATTTGATGCAAGGGGCTCTCAGCTGGCCGTTATTCGATGATCATGTATGCAATTCACCAAAGTTGCTGGTCGATTGTAATAACCGGTGTGATTCCATGTCGTCTGGCGTGTTTGGAAATATACCCCAGAGTTGATCTGACACAGGATTCGTCACTTGGTGTCATGTTGATAATCGACAAGAATATCTCAGAGCTCTTCCTGGGGTATGGGATGTCAGAATGGAGCAACTGCACACAACCGGAACACAGTGGTCGACACACACAGAAGTGGCGCACTCCACAAAATATCTAGTTTGCTATTCTTTTCATCAAGACAGATGTCACCAATTGGTGGATAGATAATGTTCGCCAGCACTGCCTTTGGATTTCTTTGTGAGAATAGTTTGACACTGTTGATTTTTTTAACATCATCCAAGTCCACCTTAACTCTTGGTACCCTCCGTTTCACCATCTCGCCCATGGTATGGATTGAGCCAGTGCCATCAAACCTTTTGCTGGCAAGATTTATATAACCGGCCTGGTATTGCACGAATGTATCTGCAATCTCTCTGATTAGGTGAACACCATGAGTGGTGACCGAGAATTTTCTAAATTTACGAGGAGCTGAAACCGAGTTGGCTTATCATATCCACTAAATTACGATGACCATATTTGTGTTATAGTGTGATTCTTTGTCAAACTTGTCGAAGAGGCAGAAATGATGGGGACATGTCGAATGCATTATTGCCTGACCCAATGACGCAGTATGGAGTTTACTGTTTCAGCTCTTGATGATAGCTTGAAGGAGGATGCGTAATGCATGTGGGAGGTAATCAAGATTGGTGTCAATCAATGCCATCTGCTCATTGTCGAGATACACAACATGTCAACATGTTTCGACATGCTCTCTACCTGCGTATGAATGTATTCTCCCCCAACTTTAATCAAACTGTCCATGTCGGATTTGTCCACCTTTGCAACATTTCATGTGCCGTAAGAGTACAATGTTAGGTTGTTGCCTGATTGTAGTTATGAATACCTTGTTCCTATAGTGATTCATGAATTCCCTGTTCAGCTGAGATGTAGTGTGTAGTTGATCATCACTCAGTGCACTCATTGACTTCAAAATGTGATGCAAATTGTCCAAAGGAATCGTTTCATCATCATTCTCTTCCAAGTAATCAATGGCAATCTAAAATGCTGTCATCTAGGGCATACACTTCAGTCCACCAAGTCTCCGATTCTTTGGTGGAGCCTCCTCATGTTCAATACTTGTCCCTCTCCGAAAATTCTTATCACAAGCATGGTGATGGATAGCTTCTTCAGCTGGTAGATCGTATATGGGCACGATACTTGACTGTACCATCTTGGCCCAATCATCTTGCCTGTTGACACAGTATGTTGCAGACATATGTTGAGTAACTTCCTGGAACTCAAGAGCCATCGCACGGCTGAAGTACACTTCTATATGGATGTTTGTATGCAACATCCTGGTCAATACAAGTACCACATAGAAAACAGTGAGTTTCAAAGTTTAAGTAGCCATCTGTGATCTACATAGGACACCTTCAGTTGAGAATAGTCACCTGCGAATAGTAACAGTTGATAGAAATATGGTTGACATGTGTACAGATACAAATGTTGCTTTTCCGATTAAAGCAAATGGTTTTTGTGCTAAATGTCTTGATTATATCTTCAGAATTAACTTGTAATCAAAGTTTCTGAGAAGCTAATACCATTTGAGAAAAATAACTGCTTCCCGGAGTTTGGACTATCTCCCTTGATTTTCCTTGAAACAAATGTTGATGTTAATGGCTCCGTTTCAAATTTTATTTTTATATTTGTTCATATTTTCATCAGTTATTCCTCTTTAGAGCCAATCAACTATATATTATACAAGTTTTTATTTTAGCTATAAAAGAAAAATAGCTTATACATACATTTATGTTCTTGAGGTCTATCTTTAAAACATTGTTTGCTCGGCCGCCATTTTGAAGAAGGGGATACTTTGGGTTTTTTCAATTATATTTGTTTCTAACTTGATTATTTATGTGAAGATAATAAACTGTATAATTTTATATGTAAAAAGGCAACTTTATAATAAATCAGTTCATGTTCTGCAAGAATTACTGATATTAACAAGTTTATGTACTTTTTCGTCATTTTAAAGCATTATTTTAATTGTTAAATATACATTCCTTTGCATTTATCCTGGCAAGGTAATATAGATTGACTCACCATAAATGTTTTTATTGTTATTTGTTCCACGTTTATGACTATTATTACTTTTGTTGGCGGTCATCTTGGATTTGACCTATTTTCGGTGTCCGATTTTGGTAAACTATTTTTTAATTTAATGCATATGTGTCAAGGCACCAAAATCCAGCAAAAAACCTTTTCCGTCAATTTTGTTGAACCTGGGCCTTTTAATTACTGGACTACAAACAGGAAACGTGATGCCAATGACGTCACATAACAACAGAATAGAAACCAGCCGTCGGTACGGAAGGTGCGGGCTGATAGTGTCCCGCAGATGTCTAGGTTGCTTCGTTGGTGTGTTTGTTGTTTTACGTCGCACTAAGCAATATTCCAGCTGTATGACGGCGGTCTGTAAATAATCGGGTCTGGACCAGACAATCCAGTGATTGATATGAGCATTGATCAACGCAATTGGGATCGATAACATGCTTCAACCAAGTCAGCGAGATGACCACCCGATCCCGTTAGTCGCCTCTTACGACAAGCACAGTCGCTTTTTACGGCAAGCATGGGTTACTGAAGACCTATTCTAACCCGGATCTTCACGGTTCGCCGATGTCTGGGAACGTGCGGGCATTTTTATAATAATTCTATCCATTTTATCTATAATATGCGATTCACGATTCAATACCCCCTACAAGTGTTTATGCAGTTGATAGATTATTTGTGGTGTGACAGTGACAGAGATATTACCGCTTTTAACTCTTAGAAAATGTTAGAAGCAAAGAATCAAAGAATGTGTCCCCCAGAACCATCAAATTCAGCAACAGGTACCATTACCTTCAGCAACAGGTACCATCACCTTCAGCAACAGGGACAATGACCTACGACTAAAGGAACCATCACCTTCACCAACAGGAACCCTCACCTTCACAAACAGGAACCCTCACCTTCACAAACAGGTTCCATCACCTCCAGTAACAGGAACCATCACATTCAGGAACAGGAACCATCACCTTCAGCCACAGGTACCATCACCTACGACTAAAGGAACAATCACCTTCACCAACAGGAACCCTCACCTTCACAAACCGGTTCCATCACATCAAGTAACAGGAACCATCACATTAAGGAACAGGAACCATCACCTTCAGTAACAGGAACCATCACCTTCAGGAACAGGGGCCATCACATTCAGCAACAGGAACCCTCATCTTCACAAACAGGAACCATCACCTTCAGTAACACGAAACATCACCTTCAGGAACAGGAACCATCACCTTCAGGAACAGAAACCATCACCTTCACAAACAGGAAACACCACCTTCAGGAACAGGAACCATACCTTCAGCAACAGCAACCATCACCTTCAACATCAGGAACCACCACGTTCACAGCAAGAGGTACCACCACCTTCAGGAACAGGAACCATCACCTTCAGGAACAGGAACCTATCACCTTCAGGAACAGGAACCATAACCTTCAGGAACAGGGGCCATCACATTCAGCAACAGGAACCCTCATCTTCACAAACAGGAACCATCACCTTCAGTAACACGAAACATCACCTTCAGGAACAGGAACCATCACCTTCAGCAACAGCAACCATCACCTTCAACATCAGGAACCACCACGTTCACAGCAACAGGTACCACCACCTTCATGAACAGGAACCATCACCTTCAGCAATAGGAAACATTACCTTCAGCATCAGGAACCACCACCTTCAGGATCAGGAACCATTACCTTCAGAAATAGGATTCATTACCTTCAGGAACAGGAACCATCGCTTTCAGGAACAGGACTCATCACCTTGAACAACAGTAACTAAAATCTATGACTACAGGAACCATCACCTTCACCAACAGGACCCATCACCTTGAACAACATGAACCCTCACCTTGAACAACAGGAGCCATCACCTTCACCAACAGGAACCACCACCTTGCACAACAAGAATCATCACATTCAGCAACAGGAACCCTTATCTTGAACAACAGGAACCATCACCTTCACCAACAGGAACTATCACCTTCACCAACAGGAACCATCACCTTGAACAACAGGAACCATCACCTTCCCCAGCAGGAACCATCACCTTGAACAACAGGAACCATCACCTTTCCCAACAGGAACCATCACCTTTCCCAACAGGAACCATCACCTTGAACAACAGGAACCATCACCTTGAACAACGGGAACCATCACCTTGAACAACAGGAACCATCACCTTCCCAAACAGGAACCATCACCTTGAACAACAGGAACCATCACCTTCCCCAACAGGAACCATCACCTTGAATAACAGGAACCCTCACCTTGAACAACAGGAACCATCACCTTGAACAACAGGAACCATCACCTTGAACAACAGGAACCATCACCTTCATCAACAGGAACCATCACCTTGAACAACAGGAACCATCACCTTGAACAACAGGAACCATCACCTTCACCAACAGGAACCATCACCTTCACCAACAGGAACCATCACCTTCCCCAACAGGAACCATCACCTTGAACAACAGGAACCATCACCTTCACCAACAGGAACCATCACCTTCACCAACAGGAACCATCACCTTCACCAACAGGTACCATCCCCTTGAACAACAGGAACCATCACCTTGAACAACAGGAACCATCACCTTCCCCAACAGGAACCATCACCTTGAACAACAGGAACCATCACCTTGAACAACAGGAACCATCACCTTCACCAACAGGAACCATCACCTTGAAAAACAGGAACCATCACCTTGAACAACAGGAACCATCACCTTCACCAACAGGAACCCTCACCTTGAACAACAGGAACCATCACCTTTCCCAACAGGAACCATCACCTTGAACAACAGGAACCATCACCTTGAACAACAGGAACCATCACCTTGAACTGCGGGAATCATCACCTTCCCCAACAGGAACCATCACCTTGAACAACAGGAACAACAGGAACCATCACCTTCCCCAACAGGAACCATCACCTTGAACAAAAGGAACCATCACATTCAGCAACAGGAACCATCACCTTGAACAACAGGAACCATCACCTTCAGGAACAGGTACCATCCCCTTGAACAACAGGAACAATCACCTTCAGCAACAGGAACCATAACCTTGAACAACAGGAACCATCACCTTGAACAACAGGAACCATCACCTTCACCAACAGGAACCATCACCTTGAAAAACAGGAACCATCACCTTCACCAACAGGAACCATCACCTTCACCAACAGGAACCCTCACCTTGAACAACAGGAACCATCACCTTCACCAACAGGAACCATCACCTTGAACAACAGGAACCATCACCTTGAACAACAGGAACCATCACCTTGAACAGCGGGAACCATCACCTTCGCCAACAGGAACCATCACCTTGAACAACAGGAACGTTCACCTTGGACTACAGGAACCATCACTTTCAGGAACAGGATCATCACCTTCAGGAACAGGAATCATCACCGGCACGAACAGGAACCATCACCCCCAAGAACAGGAACTTAAACCTACGACTACAGGAACCATCACCTTCAGGAACCACCGTCACCAACAGGAACCATCACCGTCACCAACAGGAACCATCACCTTCACGAACTATCACCTTAACCAACAGGAACTATCATCTTTATCGATGCACGAAGCACGCCTTCCTAAGAAAGCGTACAATATGTTAATGTGTTTACATAATTCGGGATATAAAACATGGGCATCCGAAATAAGATATTTGCTGTTTTCACATGGCTTTGGAATAGCATGGTTATCACAAACAGTTGTACTCATATTTTCAATAAACTGTTTCGAGAATAAGCTATTAATATGTTTCATCTAAACTGGAAATTAACTCTTGAAATTTGTTCGTGATCTAATCGCATGTGTAATGTAAGACTCTGTAGAGCCAGAGAGTTATATAGAAATATCTTAGTTAAATGTAGAGAGGAGCTGTTAACGGTAAAACATAACGAAGGTAGATGGCAAAGTAAAGATGTCTCCTTTCTGCCAATCAGGAAACCAAGACGAACGTTATTTCCTGCCACGATGTTCTGCTCTTAAAGATAGCAGAAACACGTTTATTCCAAGGAAAAAGTTTAAAATTCTAAATATGTAAGTATGTAAAACATGTAGCAGATTGTATTCGTAACACGTAGTACAGTTTACTGAAGTGCTTGGATAACCTCCATGTCAATATAACCCAGGTTTAAACTACGTAAATGGACATCTGTTTTCCTGGGTCGTCCTT